GGAACAACAGGTTGCATTAATGGTTCTTCAGGAACATCTTTAGTTCCGCTTGTGCTAGGAATATCGAAACTGGAAGGTTTATTGATGGGTTCTGGTATGTATCGTCCTTTGACTCTCCATGTGGTTTTCTCAGACAGACCCACAGTTTCATCTGCATTGCCAATGGGAGCAGACCAGAAATAGTCTTCACATCCTTCAGCGTTATCCTCGTCAACTATTATCCTTAGTTCTGCTGTTTGTCTTTGAGTGACTCCGGTCACAGCATAAACTTGGTTTGGTACGGTTTGTACCTTCTGATAAACCAAGGCCTTTTCTTTGAGTTTCGGTTTCTGTTCCTTTGACAGACGAGCAAACTCAACGGAATTTTCTGAAATAAGAGGTTTTTCGCTCTTGGTTTCATTTTTCAAAAACTTAGAACAATCAACAACATCATCTACTGAGATTTCACTCATTTCACTCTCCGTTTCAAATTCAGAAGAATTATCTATGTTTATTTTATTATCCTTGACAATTTTGGCATTTGATTCATCGAATGTTTGTATAGTTTCGGTTTTAATTTCCAGCCTATCATTTTCATCTAAGATATCTTTTAACATACTTTTATGTTCCTTAGAATCGATGAAAGTTTCTATCTTATCTAAACCTAGCCTATATGACATGGATGTTTCTTCAGATGATACTTCTGATTCACACTCAGCTATAACATCATCTTCCTTAAATTCAAGAAAGGGCAAAATTATTTTATGTATTTTCTTTCCAATTTCACAATTAAGATGTAATTGAGCAATATTAGTATAAAGACGCTTAGCAATTAAATAGAAAACATTTCTTTGTTTTAACAATTTTAAATTGTCTCCTTGCAAATAAATACTCTCATCCTTAGCCCTAACTAGCTCTGCTTCCTTCTGCTCAATCCAGATCCTTCTCTCCTCACTTTTTGAAGACACCCTGCCGAGTTGGTCAGTTAGATTAGAGTTTGCTAAACGGGTTTGCATGAGGCTACTACTTAGGTTGGAAAATTTAAAGTTTAGTTCATTTAATTCTTCTAGATATTCAGTTTTGGGAATTTTAAGAGATTCAAGGATAGAATGTACCTTTTTGATCAATCGATCGCAATCGTTGATCTTCTCACTCACCGGCTTGGCTGCAAAACACTTGTTTTCAGTCATGTTCGGTTCTGTGTCTGCACTAAACGCCTTTCCATGAGTGGGTCTTCTAACCTCTTCGTCTTCAGAGTCTGTTGACCAGACTTCTACACCACCGAACTCATCTTCCCCTGCATTTTCTTGTACAATTAGTGCATTTATCGAGCAGTTGGAAGCCTTTTTCTTCTTGACTTCTTCAAGTTTACGCATGTAATACGCTTCATCATCTTCACCCTCTCTTTTCTCAGCCATCTTTCTTAACATGCAATCTTTGGCAAAGTGGTTCTTGCCGTGACAGTAGTTGCAGTCGTATCCAGAGTCTCCTGCAAGCTTGTTTTCCTTTTTCTCTTCCACCTTTTGAGAAGAGATTTTCGGTTCCTCTTTTGCTTTCTCAGAACTATAACTTCCCTGCCAATTTCGGTTCTTATTGGTGGGAAATTTTCTTCTTGCGAATTTCTTTGGATTTGTTATCATTAAAGCATACTCCTCATTTGTAAGATCACATTCTGACATGTCTGACTCTTCTTCTTCCTCAACAGCACTTTTTCCTTTAGAGACAAGAGCCAGCGATCCCATGCCAGAGACCACTTTCGCCTCCTTAGTTACAACACTTTCATGTGACTTTAGTATCCCAACTAGTTTCGCCAGTGAGTAGGATTTGAACTGTTCATGCGCCTTCACAGTGGAAACCACAGCCATCCATTCTGGTCTGAGCCCGTTCATGAATGTAACTTTCTGTTCGATCAGCTTCCTCTCAATTCCATGATTGATCATCTTACTTAAAAGATGATTGAACCGATCAAAGGTTAGAATGAGCTTCTCTTCAGGTTTCTGTTCAAAAACTCCAAATTCTGACAGCAATAGAGTTTGAATGGAGTGTTCCAGATCTTCATCAGTTGAGTAGAGTTCCTTCAACCTATCCCAGATCTCCTTAGCAGTTGTGCATGAGCCTACATGTCGAAAGGTGTCAGATTGTAAGGCGAATCTTATCATTCGCATGGCTTTAACATTACACAGGATCTTGTCGTTCTCATCTTGTGGCATCTTCTGAACATCTGTCACCAACTTGTTGTAATCCTTCTGTGTCTTGACGATCGTGTTTGTTTCTGAATGCACAAACGGTCCAAGAATGATAGCTTCCCAGATGAGATAGCCATTATCTTCAGATCCAACCACGTAATCTTCAAAGTGATGAGTCCATACTTCGTAGTCTTGAGTGTAGAGTATGGGAACTCTAGTTGTAGATCCGATGCTGTTTGAGATGTTAATTGGGTTTGTATGCGTATCGTCGTGAGACATGGTGAGCTGCTAGAATCTTACCTGTAAACTTGAGATTAGGGTTTTATCAAAAGTTGAGTAGTCGTCGTTAAGAAGACGACGGCTTCGATAAAAGCGGAAACCCTAAATATTTGTGAATACAGAAGTAAAGTGTATTGATCACACAATCTCCTGCTCTGATACCAATTGTTAGAACAATGTTCTATCAGGATCGTATGATTCTAAGCAAAATATAAATAAGAACGTAATTAAGAACACAAGTATTGCACTGAATATGTCGAATGATTAATGCAAAGATACCCCAGAAGAGCTCGATAAAGAACTTCAATCTGTAGAGGTATATTAGGGTTACAAGAATCAACGTAATCGACTATTCTATATTATACGCATACATGCATGCATATATTTATACTAAAACCCTAACAACTTATCTAGATAAAAAGAAACTATTCTAGATAAATACGGATGGACAAGCCCAATCCGATTACAAAACAAAAGGCCCAAGACGCAACACTAAAATACTTAAAAACACATATAAAAAACATTAATTAAAGTAATAACTATGAGAAATCTTATCATAATTAAATGTGATAAAAATTAATTATATATAATATTACCATAATTATATATAAAATATATTAATTATAAAGAATATTATTTATAATTAACATTTATTATATTTAATTATGGTAATATTTCTCATAATTAATACTTCAGTTAATATGTTTATATGTGCATTTAGAGCACATGTTAGAAAAGAGAAATTAAATATTCTATTACTTTTTATTCCTAAATCTTCTTAACGCAATTAAATGGTGACATATATAACATTTAATGTTCATTTAATGGAATTTAATGATATTTTAGTATACTAATGTAACATATGTCATCATTTAAATGAATAGGAGTATTTGTACGAACAAAAAATAAGATGATATTTAATTTCTCGTTAGAAAATCCCATGAATATATGCTATTTTTAGTCTATTGATTTCTTAATATGATGTATCTGATCTCTTAATTTGTTGTGTTTGTTGATTATTAGTAGTCTAATTGGATCCGCTTTATTTATTTGCTTTATTTATTTATTTTATAAAATTGATCAAAATCCAGTAAAGGTATCATAACCACTTTTAGACTTAATAGTCGATGAACCATTGTATGTTGATCATTCTTCTCTTATTATTTGAGTTCTTGAAGCAACAATCAAAATACTATAATTAAACTGAATTTTGACATTGTGCTGGTTTTTATGCAATTATAATTTAGAAAAAACTATTATTTATTTAATTGCATGCATAAATTAACAAACAAACCATTATTCACATTTATTAGGAATGAATGTGTTGTTCTTGTCTAACTACTTACGGAAGATGATAGTTGTTTTTAGGTATTTTATGCAATTTGTTGTATTGTTGGGTTGGCCAATTTTGCTAATATGTTTATAATAGAGTAAGGTTTTGTAATTTTATTTTTTATATATTTTGGAATATATTATAAATGTAAATTAAATAATGGAAAAGGAGGCACACCATAGCAAATTTTTGACAAATTTGAAGTGCATCGGGTAACCCAACAAAGCAACCCAACATGAGTATCGGCTAACAAACAGCACGCCATCACGTTGGAAGGGGGTAGCCTTGCCTTCCCTTTGCTTATCCCAACTTCAATCGACATGAACATGATCATCGGCTAACAACCAGTCAGTTTTTACGAAACCACGACGATAAATTTTGCATTTTACACTAAAAATAAATATAAATGATTTCTTTTAAGCTCTAATAAATTTAATAATAAAAAAGAATCTTAAATGAGCCTCTAATGATGGGACACATGTATGCTTATGTATGTGTGTGAGACATAATGTTAACAAATCCATCTTTTGTAAATTCATCAAGAACCAAATTCTCATGGAAAATTCCTGATTTTAAAACTTCCATACAAATAGGAAATTTATTGGACCTCATACAATTTTTTTTTTCAAACCACAAAGACCAATTTTGCATTTTTGTCTTATTTTCACATTCGTTCCATATTTGTTCAACATTTATAATATTATTATTGTGATCTAGATAGATTTGATTAAAATTAATTTTGTTTGGATTTATTTTTATACAGGTCGTCGATATTAACATCCTACATATAATTGTTTTTCATTTTGCAAAATTATGATCATAGGATTAAATCGTGATCTTAAAATCCTATCAAAATGACACATTATAAGTTTAAACATAAAAACACATCTACCTAATCTCTTCTAACATAACACATCTCTGGTGAAATTATAGTGAAATATCATTAACGACACATCATGAATTGCATTTGCATCACAAACTACATAGTACCATAAAATTGAAATTCATAACCCCCTAAAAAGAATTGCACCATTTACATCATAACTTCATAACCACTTACCTTTAATAATAAGAAAAGCTGGAAAAGCATCATCATAACCAAAAACTCTTTTAATCACATTAACCACATTAAGAAGAAAATCTAGAACTGAAATGTAACATTAAAAGCACTAAAGATAACAACATATTTTGATGTATCAATATGCACAACATACTTTCATTCTTACTAATAATAGCAACATATATACATACACTTTTTGACCTATTAAACAGTAAGCAGTTACAATTTAACTTTTTTTTTTTTTTTTTTTGCTTAATGCTGATGTGGCAAAAAATTACCAAATGTGATGATAAATTGAAGTAAATGTCTAAAAGAATACAATCTGGTTTCCCAGTTTTACATTCAACGACTTACCTGCAAAAACTAAGATTGAATCGGTGGTTGCCCCAACCATTTTGCACGAAATCCAGTTCCTTTACAATCTGCACAACTTGTTGATCCCTGATACAAACATAAACCCTAATCAGCAATCTTGAATCATACCTCCAAATGAAAAAGAAAGATGATTTGGTTGACATGTTAATGGGATGACGATGAATTTCTTAAACTGCTTACCTTTCCTGTACAAATAACGCAGCTTGAATTTCTAGATGGGACTTGACAAAGCATGTTATCACCAAGAATGAAAAACCCTGTGCCACGACACCATTTGCACTCGACATGTCCATTCGACTCGCAAGAAGAACAAGCAATTGGCCTCGGTTGCTGCAAGAAAAATAACATAGTTGCTTAGATCTACAGGTGCTTAATTCGAATTTGTTATTGAATCGAGAAATTATTGAGGAAACCCTAAATGATGAGTTTTAGTTTGTGTATATACCTGAGAGATTAACCAAGCTTGTTCCATACGTTTAAGGAAATTGGAGGAGTTTTCGGAGGTATTCCCCACCATTGAAGCTCTCACAACGCAAATTCCGTCGCCGTTGAAGCGTTTCTGGATCAGAGTTACACCGCCGTGATGGAGATGAAAATACCTTCCTGTAAATGATGACTTTGTAGAAATCAGCAACGGCTTGCAAGAACAACCACTACAGGTACTCGAAATCATCGATTTCAGGCTTTAATTTAGCAGAAAATACTTATATACGAAAGAAGAAAGAGAACGATTTCAAGAAACGAGTTTATTTTCAAGAGTCGTAGATGATGACAGAAGCCGTTTTTTTGTGGCTTTCTGCACTACAACTTTCACCGGTGGCCCACCGGCGTTTCTTTAATATTTTCTGTTCATATTAGACAGTATAAATAATGGTCCATAAACTTAATGCCAAGACCCGTAGGTGCATCCCTATACCGCACTATGTTGTGGTGATGAGTTCGGCGGTGTGGTGACAACACTGATTAGGGTAGGGAGTGTTCGGCGGTGCGGTGACAACTTTGATTAGGGCTGGGAGTGCGGTAAGCCCATCATGTTAGGAGATATGGTCACACCGTTTTTTCAATTTCATGTGGCCTTTGAGTTTTTTATGAGGTGTAGTATGATATCCGTTGATTTTGTGAGATGAGAGACAAATGATACAGCAGACTAAAAATATGATAAGATGTCGTATGACACTCATCGGTTTAATGTCAAATTTTGTCCCTAGAGTAGGTTTCTTCGCATAACTAGCTTGACATTATCAATTTTATGTCAAATTAGCCATGTACATTATAACATTATAACTGACCATCAAGACATTTACCTCAATCAAGTAGTTTTTTATAGGTTAAAAAAATGAACACAAATGCTTAGTGCATCCCTAAGGCCACATAACAAAAGCATATAAAAAATAATGATTATGTGCATCCCTAACAGTTGGTCGTGGTATTGGAATCGTCAAATATGTGGATGTGCTTTGCAATGATAACTTGATGATTTGAACAGTCTTATTGGCAATTTCGACAAGAAGGATTCTTGGAAATGGGGATTTGATGGTGTCGCGGGGTTTTTGGTTCATCATGCTACGCAACTTATTGATAAGGTTTCGCTTTTAGTTACAAGATGGAATCAAGGTGTGCCTCGGAAGATAAATACATTTTGTTAGCGTGTGTTGCAAGATCGACTTCCTACTAGGTGGAATTTAAGTATTAGATGTTTGGAGCTTCCTTTTTTAGTTTGTCCTTTGTGTGATGGTCATGTGGAGAAAATTGATCATCTTTTTTTTATTATATGAATTGGTGGGTTCTATTTAGCAAAGAGTCTTTATATGGGTTGATCTAATGTTGTGTGGTTGGGATTCGTGACGAGACATGTTTGATTGGCTAGATATGGTCTCATTGTTCTGAGAGAGAAAAATTGCATTGGAATTGATTATTCAAACGGTCCTTTATGTGATGCGGAGGTTTCGGAGTTTTATTTTATTTGGTGAAGTGGTTCCGTCTAAAATTTTGATTTTTGATGATATTGTCGATATGTCATATAATTGGTTTGCTCGTAAAAACAATCAGGTTAAAGTTAGTTAGGTTGATTGGCTTTAATATTTTAGCTACTCTTTGTAATTTCTAGCTTCTTACTAGTTTTGTGTTTAATATTAAACTGTAAAAAAAATGTTTGTTAACTAATGTTTTGAATTAGCCTTTTACATTATAAGGGGCATTTGGATTTCTTATCTAAACAACTTTTTTTTTTTTTTTTTTTGTTATGAATTAGCCTCTTACATTATAAGGGGGCATTTGGGATTTCTTATTTAAACAACTTATTATTATTATTATTATTTTTTGTTATGAATTAGCCTCTTGTTACATTATAAGGGAGCACTTGAGATTTCTTATTTAAACAACTTATGTCTTTTATAAAGTGTTTATTAGCTTATACAATATCAAAATGTAGTTTAAGAAAAATATATTCATATTAGACTATAAAAAATGGTAAATACTATATGAATGGTCTAGGTTAACCCGTTCAAGGTCAATCAGGTAACATTAACAATAATTTAGGCGAACCTATGGTATACTACTGTATCAAACACAATAAAAATATAAGTTGGTTTTTAGTGTTTGATAAACCCGGTATATCTTTAAAATAACCCAAAAAAGCATACTCATAATATTGACTTATCTGTTTTCTTACATATAATAGTTTATCATTTTATCATTTATAATTATAATTTTTACAAAATTTTATACAACAAAATATAATTCCTGTTCTGTAATGAGTATTTTGTTGAATTTTAAGATTTACAAATTTTGTTCTTAGCACATGGAAAGGAGTATTCCATTCTCCTCATTGCTCTTTCAATTACATTTCTTGTAAGTTCTAATATTGGTGTGTGAGAGTGTGCTCTATAGCCTTATAAAACAATCAATTCAAAGAAACAAGTATAATCGCACAACACACAACAATTAATGATAAGCAATTAAGGAGGAAATGTGCAACAATTAATACAAAGAAAACAAGGAGAACGTATGAACTATGATGTTGAGATGAGAGGATACTTTTATATGTTATAGCAAGTTAAAGTGGTTTATATTTTGTGTCAAAATCTTCACTAAAACCACTAAACTTAGATATATTTTTCTATTGTGACAATTTTAACCTAACATATTATAACAAATCATTGGTCAAAGTGGTTGACTTACGAAAAACTCTCAAGCTTGGGTGGCTTACATTAACAAAACTAAAATATAATGATTAAACCAAAAAAATTGTAAAACATAGTGGCTTTTATGTATTTTACCCTCAAAACAAGGGTAACATGGCCAATTTAACCAAGAAAACCAAAAGCAACGTACAAATATTCCACTTTTGGTCTTCCATCTAGGGTATTATTCATTTGCCAAAACAAAGTACAAATAGTTCAAGTAATAGATGTTATCAATGTTTACAAATTTTTCACCTCAAATCCCACATAATATAATCACACACAAAATGAATACTATGTTTTAAAACATGCCCTTTTACCTCTTATACAACCTTCATGGGAAAATCCCTTCAAAGCATAACTTGCTACAACATAAAGTCAAAATTGTTTTGTTTTTCATTACACAAGTAGCTTTAAATTCAATCTCATTCTTCTTAAGTAGAACCCGAATATTGCATCACTAGACTTTTTTGTTTCACAAGTTCATGAAGATCTTGAACAATTTTGAACACCGAATCGGGTCTTGCTAATCTCAATGCATTTTGTGACATTGTCTTGAGTTCATGTGCTTTTGGACCAAACCATTGACCAACAATTTCTGCAATTTCTTTTGGTGACTTTGAAAATTTCCCACATCCGTTTTCCACTACATAAGGTACATTTCCAACTTCCTGCACAATAGCAAAATGACCATTTTACCCTTGCATTCTGAAATCAACTTTAATAAGAAAATTACCTGGCCAGCTATGTAATCGTTTAGAATGATGGGGAGACCTCGGATCATGGCTTCTGCAATTGTGCCTGGACCAGCCTATGAGAAATAAAAAAGGTCAATGAATAAGTCAATGTTGACTTTTGACTTTTTAAGTGTCAAAAAAGTAAATATTATAATCTTGGAATTGGAAAGAGTTATTGTATTTGTGCATAGAGAATTGATTTGAGTATCGGTTAAATGCTTGTTTATGCAGCAATGTTTCACTTTTTTACCGGTTTTATAAAACAATGTTTTATATTTTATATAAAAAATAAGGTTAATCTCAAAAAATACGGTAATATTTTGTTTTTTTTTTTCCGGATTAAACCTTGAATTTATTTTTTTCCCTGAAAAAGAACCTTTTATTTTTTCCGATCTGCCCCTTTTAGTCATTTTTTGCCAAAAAAAATTGTAAAATCTGAGGGTTTTTTTTCAAGAAAAACTAAAAAAAGTTTGAGGGTTTATTCAGAAGCATTTAGAAGGTTGAGGGTTTTTTCGGAAAAAAAAAAAAAGAAATACAAAGTTGAGGGCTTTTTTGGAAAAAAATACAAGGTGGTCTTTCTCAAGCAAAAAATAAATTTGAGTTTTAATCCGGAAAAAACACAAAATATAAGGTCTTTTTTGAGATTAAACCAGAAAAATATTGCATATTCCGTATAAAAAAACCCACTTTATTTGCATAAATACAAATTTAACCGAAAAATCTAAGTCAAAAAGTTAAAAATTTGGAGGTGAATAGAAGGAAGCAGTTTACCTTAGTGATAATACAATCACAAGCACCCATGCATTCTTCCATCTTAGTGACAAATCCCTTCACCTGTAAACAATATGAATCCATGGCTTAAAATGTATCTTCTAAAATCTGATTACTTACTAAATAAATTTAATTTATATCGAAAAGAAAATATGAAAAAAGTAAAAATTTGAAATATACCTGGATAGGAATCTTCCATTCAGCTGAAAGCAATTTGGTAGCAAGTTTTTTATTTCTACCACAAATGACAAGAACTTGACCAATTGGCTCACCAAGATTTTCATCAAATAATGCTTTTCCTAATGCTTTAGCTGTGGCTTCAATGGGCCCCATCCCCTCCCCACCCCCCATCAGTAACACTGCAGGTAGATCCTCATCCATACCAAGCTCCCTCCTCAATTCATCCTATTCATTTGTTTTTTTAAATAAAAAAAAAATGTTTCTTTTTGTATTTTCTTTGACTTTTAAAAAAAAAAAAAAAACCTTTTTCCGGTTTTTTAATAAGTTAAAAGAAAAGCAAAATGTACTTTCACCATCTTAGTGATTTAAATCGATAAAATATACTCGATAGTTAAGTGGCTAAATGAATATAATGGTGAAAGTACAAGTGTCAAACATTTGTTATGTTTACAAGAAAGATTCAAACCTTGGGCCTAATGGGCTTAACAAAAGAAGGTCGAACAGGAAGCCCATAAACTTTTATTTGAGAAGATTGGAGTCCAGCTTTTAAGGCCCGTTTTGCCACCTCTTCTGTAGGGCAATAGCATCTTGTTACAAGTTTATGAAACCTATCACATAAACAACAAACCAATATCACAATCTTTCTAGGGCTATTTTCGATTATGACGATGAGAAGGGCGTTCACGTCTTTTTGACAAAAGGGGTATTGGGTAGGACAAAAGGTTGAAACTTTTGTCAATATATGAGTAACAAATGGGAAGTAATAAGTTTGAGTGGAAAACAAACCATGTAGGATGACAAGTGCTTAAATCGGTGACAACTGTAGTAAATACAATCTTGTCCAAAAGACCCTTTGACCTCAAGACACGAAGTGGTACATGTTGCATTAGAGGATGTACACTGATGATGATATCAGGCTGATACTTCATTAGACCTTTTGCAACCTCTCTGCGATGATAAGGAGATTAGT